CTAAAACTTTCCCTTTATCACTGAGCATCCCTAATTAAGCTAACATTATTAGGGGGGAAAAAAACCCTCCCAAATTCTCTCTGCATTTCAGTAGCTCTTTAATATGCGAAGCAACGAGAGATGAGCTTCTCCTAATTGCCAGTCCCTGGAGTCGCCAGTCAGAAAATGAATTGATGCGTTTTTTCCTTATGAACAATGCATGTAGCACAAATTGCAGTGGCCGTCACCAGAGATTTAATTACAAAATATCATTACTTTCACACATCATTTCAGATTTGGCCTGATCAAATCAAAGGAGGGCGAGAGGGAGAGAAAACTGCACTCCTAGCAGGGTCACTCACTCAGGGGTGGCTGGAACACGGGCAGGAATCGGCATCATCGAAATGTCCTCAGGGCCCTGCCAAGGAAGCAGCTGCCGGAGACACAAATGGAAAAGGAGATTCCCGGGGCTCCGGGCTTCAGCAAAGTGGAGGCTGTGGGCTGCGGGAGGGTCCCCAGGGCATGGAAACGTCCCCTCAAGGGAGGAATCAGGATGCCAAGAACATCACAATTCTGCAACTCAACGATGCTACAGAATTTCCCATCATCCCTGGCTTTAAGCAACTCCTGCCTGCCAATGCAGGAGACAAGATATACAGGTTCGATCCCTGGGTCAGGAAAATCACCTGGAGGAGGGCATGGCAACCCACTCCAGTATTCTTGCCTGGAAAATCCCATAGACAGAGGTGCCTGGTGGGTTACAGTTCATGGAGTCGCAGAGAGTCAGACACGACTGAAGTAACTCAGCATGCATGCGTGTCTCCAGATCATTCATTCCAAAAATGTGTCTTGAGCCCTGAGCCAGACACAGTGCTAGACCCCAAGGCTGCAAGACAGTGAGCAAATGAATGTGGCGCCTGCCTTCCCAGGGTTCACACGCTGATTGGAGAAGCAGATATGTTTGGGGGGAGTTTTTATCTAGTTGGTTTTGAAGTTTTTTGGCTGCACCTGGTCTGAGTTGCAGCTTGTGGGAAGTTCAATCTTCATTGTGCCATGCAGGATCCTTAGTTGTAGCACAAAGGGTTTTTTTTAAAAAAAAAAAAAAGATCCTTGAGCTGCCTGAGTGCAACTCCCTCTGGGGACAGCGCCAGGTGGGGAGTTTGACTGGGGCGGCACACCCGTCAAACGGTAAACGCATGTGTCCTAAGGCGAGTGCGGGGAAGGGGGCGGTGGATAGAAACCTTCCGTGGAGCAAAAAGGCCAAAACTCGCTTGATTTTGATTTTCAGTACAAACACAGACCTTGAAAGCAGACCCTTTTTTAAATAAATCAAGAGCTGGGTTAAACAACGATCAAACAACACAAAGGGGTCCTAAGATGCAGAAGTTTGGCACCCACTGCTCTATGGGATGCTCGGAACAACTCCACGCTAACCACACTGACTGTGAGTGATGCTGTCCACCTCCAGTTAGGGCTGAGGACCCTGAGGCTCAGACACAGGACAGGTCGACAGCTCCCCAGGTTCACACAGCAGGCTGATGGCACAGCCAGGATTCGAATCCGGGCTGTCTGGTACCACAGCACACACACTTTACCCCCCTCTCCCGCGCCCAAGCAGCAAGATGCCAGGGGTGCAGTGGATGATGGGCCAGCACCTGTTGTGCTACCTCCTCCAAGGAGGTGAAATGACACGGTTTGACTGATCTCAATGATCAGCTACAAATGGTCCCTCCATGTGGCCATGTTAATCAGCTTCTACCAGCCAGGATCTGACCAGTTTGAAAGGTTTATAGCAACAATGTGGTGCTGATTTATTTCACCGTAATAAAAAAGTGATCAAGTAAAACCTGCATCTATCATTCTATTTATCACTCGGAGTGATTTATGGACTAATTACAGTTGCAGCGGACGTGGGCTCTGAGGATGGATCATGGAGGGGAGGTGGGGTCGGTGTGGTCATCAGTACTGCCTGGGACACGCCCACCCGACCGCCCTTCTCTTCTAGCCCCTCACACCCAAGTAAGAACGAATTCTCCAAGATGGGTATCAAGGCTCTGAGAAGACGGGGAGAGGGGAGAAATGGAGGGAATGTGCTGTCCCAGCTGTTCCTTCCTCACTTCCTTGTCCCTGGAGCCAGCAACTTGGCTCCCCCAGCTTCCTCCTAAGTCTCTGGAGGGAAGGGGGTCTTCAGACAAGATCTGCAGGGTATTGATAGTTGGGGAAAGGAAAAAATGAAAAGCCAACAGCCCCAAGAGAACATTCCAGGCTACTATAAACCTGCCAGAGGGCCCCCCTCCCACTTCCTTGCTGCCCCAGGTAGGGCTGCAGCTAAAACACAAGACCCCCAGTTAAGCTTGAATCACAGATAAACAATGAATCACTTTTTAGTGCAAGAATGTCCCAAATATTAAGTGGATATCCTGTAAAATCTAGCAGGGCCGTGAGGGTCCTGGGAGGGTGTTCAGCAGACTAGAGCTGTCAGAACTCCCAGGGTCCAAAGCCACGGCTGGCCTCACTTTGCCCACCTGCTGTCCACCTTCTCGTCCCCTCTGGATCCAACAGGTGGGTGTGACTTCTAGGAGCTGGTGGGCAAAGGCCCTCAAACTCCCTGAGCCTTATCTATAAAATGACGGTCCCCACCCTGTCCCTGTCCTTCCCACCCAGGGTCACACAGGATGGTGGGAGTGGATAAGTCTGTTCTTCACCAGCTACAGGGATCGGGGTGGAGGGCTGTCTTGGGGTAATCATGAGTGGGTTCCCACCCCTCTGTGAAGGTCAGGTTCCATTTAGTCCTCTTGGAGAAATAATAGCTATCACTCCAAACTTTTTTTTTTAGTCATCTTTCCTGAAAGCTGGGGTCTGTAGGAAGAAAAGTCAGAAGGTAAGCTGGTATAACCTTTGTGGGAGAGCACAGTGCAATATCCAAATCCGCCTGCAATGCAAGAGCCTCAGGTTCGATCCCTGGGTTGGGGAGACCCCCTGAAGGAGGGCATAGCAACCCACTTCAGTGTTTTTGTCTGGAGAATCCCATGGACAGAGGAGCCTGGCGGGCTACAGTCCAGGGGGGGTCACAAAGATTTGGACACTGCTGAAGCAACTTAGCACGCACACACAGCGAGGCATCTACTGAAATAAAGTAAGTATATGAGCCATCGAGCTCCCAGGTGTCCAAAGGAGGGAAACACTGGACTCCAGCACACGCTGTAGGAACAAGGGCTTCCACCAAAGAGCCATTTCCGTTAACCCCCGAAAAGATTAGAAGCTGCCTGCGATCTATAGAAAGAGAACTAGACAAGTGGATGGTGATGCAGGCAAATTATGCTGAAGTAAAAGGAAGGAGGAAAAGATCTTCACTAACCCACCAAGGGGCTTCCCTGGTGGTTCACTGGTAAAGAATCCTCCTGCCGATGCAGGAGACGTGGGTTCGAATCCTGGTCCAAGAAGAGCCTCTGGAGAAGGGAAGGGCAGCCCACTCCAGTATTCTTGCCTGGAAAATTCCACGGATAGAGGATCCTGGAGAGCTACAGTCCATGGGGTCACAAAGAGTCAGACACAACTGAGCAATTGTGCAACAACAACCTGTCAAGACTTCCAAGAAATGCTGCTTTTAGAAGAGAGCGAGTTGAAGAACATTCTAGACCAGGGTTTCTTGCTCTCAGCACTATGGACATCTTGGGTCCGGTAATTCTTTGTTATGGGGGCTGCCTTGTGCACTGAGGGTGCTTAGCAGCATCCTGACCTCTACCAATTGGATGCCAGCAGCACTGACCCCATGAGCCGTGACGACCAAACACATCTCCAGAGATTTCCAAATGTCACCGGGAAGTAACGTCACACGCACCCCCGGAGAATCAGTGGTCTATGCATCATCAGGAATGTTTACGGGGGCAAAAGCAGACACCAGGATCAGCCTTTCCTCTGGGACTTGGGTGAGTGTGTGAGCACACAGAGAGAGCCCGGAAGGCAAGTTTCTGGATGAGAGCCGCGGTCCCCTCTGGGCAGAGGGTGGGAGTGTGGGTGGGGGAAAAGAGGAGGGCCACGGGAGGCTGTCACCTCGCTGTGTCACCCACACGTCTGTCACTGAGAATGTACACGCTTGGGAAAGAGGCTCACAGTCTAGAGGACAAACGTAACGGTTTCCAGGCGCGGGGTTTGGGGCAGCAGGATTGGATGGAGGGAAGGGATAGTTAGGGAGTTTGGGGTGGACAGGTACACACTACTATATTTAAAATGGATAACCAACAAGGACCTACTGTATAACACTGGGAACTCCCCTCAGTGCTATGGGGCAGACTGGATGGGAGGGGAGTTTAGGGGAGAATGGATACTTGTATTTGTATGACTGAAACCCCTCGCTGTTTACCTGAAACCATCACAACATTGTTAATCGACATTGTTCAGTCGCCAAGTCGCATCTGACTCCTCACAACCCCATGGATTGCAGCACGCCAGGCTTCCCTGTCCCTCACCATCTCCCAGAGTTTGCCCAAGTTCATGTTCATTTCTTCTCTGGTGGCTCAGAGAGTAAAGTGTCAGCCTGCAATGCGGGAGACCTGGGTTTGATCCCTGGGTCGGGAAGATCCCCTGGAAAAGAAAATGGCAACCCACTCCAGTACTTTTGCCTGGAAAATTCCATGGATGGAGGAGCCTGGTGGGCTACAGTCCATGGGGTCGCAAAGAGTCGGACACGACTAAGCGACTTCACTTGCTGTTTATGGCATCAGTGATGCCATCCAACCATCTCATCCTCCAGTGAAATGGGGCTATACCCCAATACAAAATAAAAAGCTTAAAAAACAGAATGTGTACATTTGTCTACTACTTGTATAATAAAGATAGAGGAAAAACAGGGGAGAGGAGGAGAAGCAAGAAGGAAAAGGGAAGGGAAGAAGGAAAAGGGAAGGAAAGGTGGAGGGGAGGGGAAGGAGGGAGGGACCACCCAGAAGCCAGGTCTGGGCAGAGGGGCTGTGGGACCTCCATGCTGCCTTGTCCTCAAAGCAAAATAAGAGGGCTGCACCCACAGGTCCCTCCAGCGCTGCGCTCAGCCCGGGCGAGCCCCAAGGTGACCCAGCCCTGCCTCCGGCCAGCCCCCCCATGCAGCCCAGCTGTGCCACACAGAGAAAAGGGGGGCTTGGGGCCGCGCTCTCCCCCTCCCAGCAGCTCGAACTGATTAGCCTCCTGGGGGAGAGGGGAGGACAGGGTCTGGTCAGCCTCCCAGCTCCACGCTGAGGACTTGGTGGAGGCTTGATTAAATAATTACACAGAACCCACCGAGTAATCACACCGGCTCCAGAAATGAGTCCCTTCCGAGGAGGCCCCGTTAGTGATTTGGGGGTGTGTGAGGGTGTCTGTCTCCTGCCGGTGAGAAAATTACCCGCATAAGGCCTCATTTGCAAAATGCAACCCAACTCACTCCATCCCCTCCCAGTCCCCGGGTGCATAGTGTAAGCTCTGTTCCTCAGCTGAGGACCGCGAGGCTGAGAGCTGCTGGGGCGAGTTCAAGATCCTGGGATGGGGGGAAATTCCAGCTCTGACTACCCAGGGGGCCGATGCCAGGGTTCAGGACTGAAAGATCCTCAGAGAGGTCTTGGGTTTCGTTTGTTGTTTTTGCTTCCCCATGAGGATAATTTGTCGTCTTTCCATTTTGGAAAACAAATCTAAAATCGGCCCCATGAGCCTTCCCACGATCAGCTGCTGCCAAGAGAACAGGCCAGTGTGTGGGGTAAGAGGTGGGACCCTCAAATCCCCCCACTGCAGCTGTCCTCGTCCCCATCCACCCAGGCTGAGCAGTGGTCAGGGAGCCCAGCCCGTTTCACAGACTCAGGATAAGGGCCATGGGTGGCTGGGTGGACAAGAAGATTCCAGCAGCCCTTCCAGACAAGCATCTGGTTTAATGGGACTCTCCGTGGCGCAAAGCGAGATGCCCACTGCCGGCTATCTGCTGGTCCAGCTTGCCACCAGCCAGCCCCGTTGGCTCATTTATGCCAGAGCAGTCCAAATTCATTAATAATGATTAGTCTCTTTCTCAAGAAGAGGCTCGCAATCAAAGGGCCATTAAAATTAAGTGCTGGAGGAACGTGGTGGCGGCAGGGGAGGGGGAGGGCGGGGGATGGGCAGCAGAGCTAGGCATCAGTCCCCCCGGGGACTCTGACATCCCCCTGCCGCAAGACCTTGGGTCGGTCACTCCTCGGCCTCAGTTTCAAGGACACGAGGCTCAGTTTCACCATCTCTGAAATGGAGGGGCCTCTGTGACTACCAGGTCAATGATAACACGCGTGGAACTCCCAGCTGGGGGGAATACGTCTTCGGGGACCCTAGGATGAGGCCCCCAGCACCGGGACCCTGGGGAAGTTAGTGGAAGGGGAGAGGGGTGCTCCCTGCCAGGCCAGACCTCTGAGAGTGCCTCTCACTGCCCAGCTGGGCTCACTCTGGTCCCTGGGTCATACACGCCCCGACCCTCTGACTCCCACCACCGCCAAGTCCCAGCATCCCCGGGACAGAGCATCAGGAGCAGCGTGGGAGGGGAGAGCAAGCAGCCACAGGGCCCCGAGACCTTGGAGGAGGCTGGACCTCAGCCCCCAGCCTGCTCTCTGGTTTCTTGGGAGGTTTCGCTACAGAGAGGAGGCCCAAGGCCACCACGCTCCACACCCCACTGACCCTCCACTGTGCAGTGACAAGAGTCCAAGACGCGGCCACCCTCTGCTGGGGACAACCTGGAGTCCCACACACCCAGGCTGAGGGAAGAGTGGCGGGGGGAGTCTGCAAAACGCACCCACCTGCCCCTCAAGGAACAGAATTCAAACAGGAACAAAGAAAGGAAGCAAAAGAAAGGACTTCCCTGGAGGTCCACTGGCTAAGACGCCACGCTCCGCATGCAAGGGGCACAGGTTTGATCCCTGGTCAGGGAACTAAGATCCCCGCCCCACAAAAGAAGAAGAAAACAGAATCCTGCGGTCTATCACATCTGGCCCTTCCTTGGGAGAAGGGGAGATGCCAAAACTCCAGAAGTGCTGAGCCCAGGGTTGAGGTGACCGCCTGATGCCTCTTGAGGACAGGAAATGCAGTGTTACAAAGGCCCCTATTATGTGCCAAGCACTCAACCTTGTGACTTCATTCGATGACCACAAGGACACCACAAGGTCAGAATTAGTCATTCTCATTTCACAGAGGGAAAAAACTCAGCCTGTACAAGATGCTGTGTCTGGGACAGTCACGGTGCCAAAGTCAAGATGCAAACCCAGTGGGAAGGGGTGGGGCGGGAGGTGGGAGGGGGGTTCAGGATGGGGCAACACTGTGGCCAATTCATGTGGATGTATGGCAAAAACCATCACAATATTGTAATTATCCTCCAATTAAAATAAACTAATTTTTTTAAAAAGGTGGGAAGCCAGGAGCACTGGATTCTGACTCTCTCCTCCCCTTTTACACTTGGCAGCCAGGAGGTGGGTGATGACACGAGGGGAAATTATAGCTGACACTTTCCAAGCCCCATCAGGACCAGGCCACAGCTCTTGCAGATCTGAGTCACTCCCTCCTCCCCACAACTCCACGAGGCCAGGACTCTCCTCCCATCTCAGAAAGAAGACTCGGAGGCAGAGTGATGTTCAATGACTCGTCCAAGGCCACGGGATAAGGACATGGCAGAGTCAGGCCTCCGATGGACGGGCAGGGTCCAGCCTTGCCTCCCACTGGGCCCGCTAACAGAGTGCTTGGAACAGATCGGCTGGTCCATAATAAATGTTAGACAGAAGAAGGGATTAGTAGCAAGAGGGAAGGACAACAGATTAGCACAGGGTGATGGTCAAGAGGGACTGTCCAGAGCCAAAACAGCCTGGGTTCAGATCCCTGCTCTGTCACCTTTTAACTGCAAGCTTCTTAAGTTGTCTCCGCGTCCATTTTCTTATCTGAAAGATGACTATAATAATAGCTTTTGGGGCTTCCCTGGTGGTCCCACAGTTAAGAATCCAGCTTGCGATACAAGGGACCCAGAGTTCGATCTCTGGTCTGGGAAAATTCCACATGCCTCGGAGCAACTAAGCCCGTGCTCTGCAACAGAAGGCCCTGCAATGAGAAGGCCACTCACCACTAGAGAAATCCCCTCTTGCAGCCACGGAGACCCAGCACAGCCATAAATAAATAAATGCACGTTTAAAATAATAATAGTTCTTACCAGCGAGGGTTCTTTAGAGCAACAAGGGGATTCCTCCACAGCCTGGCACCTGCTGAGAGCTCTGTCCTACTGCGGATGAGTGGACAGCAGGCAACACTGACGCTTTGGACCGGCTCTCAGCCCAGCCCTGGGGTATTCTTACGAGGCCACCAAGGGCAGCCTCGCATGAGCAAGTCCGAGACTCCACGCATGCCTAAGTCCGAGAAAGACCACATCCTTCAGTTTTGCACCCTGGGCGCCGGACTGCCTCACCCTAGTCCCAACTCTCGTCTGTCTGCCCACTAGTTTCTGTCTGGTCTCCCTCGTTCTCCTGGGGTCCTCTGTTTCCTCCACCCAGAGGACAGGGGCTCTCAGACCAGTTCTGCAAGGGTCTCCAGCCTGGTGACAGTAACCTCCCCGTCACAGAGACATTAGAGCAAAGGCCAAATGGCCACTTGGAGCCTACGGGACAGGATAACTACAAGGAAGCTGGACACGACTTCGAAGCTTGGAGCAAGCTGATGGGGTGGGCATCGCCGGTGTGAATGATCACAGCGCCACCTGGTGGTAATTTGGGAGATGGTGCCCCCACCCTTCACAATGAGGGCGTTTAGACGTTTCAGTTCAGTTCAGTCGTTCAGTCGAGTCCGACTTTTTGCGACCCCATGGACTGCAGCATACCAGGCCTCCCTGTCCATCACCAACTCCCGGAGTTTACTCAAACTCATGTCCACCTAGTCGGTGATGCCATCCAACCATCTCACCCTCTGTCATCCCCTTCTGATACCAAGCCCTGTTGATGAATAGTTTTCCTACAATACATCACTGAATTCTAACAACACTCTAAGGAAGGTATTGTTACCCTTTTTACATGTGAGGACACTGAGGCTCGGAGACGCAAACTGAATTGCCCCCAAGATCACACAGCCAGCAAGTGGCAGAGCCTGGACTCTAGCTCAGACTTTCTGACACCAAAACCTTCCCTAAGCCTCAGGGGAATAAGCGAGAAAGAAAATAGATACTTCCCCTGGCCTCACAGAGCTTTCAGCCTGGTTGAGGCACAGAAATCACAAGTTCATTTATTAGGCATCCACTCTGCATTAGGTGGGACTCCCCTAGTGTCTCAGACTTCCCTAGTGTCTCCTGCCTACAGGGCAGAAGACCTGGGTTCGATCCCTGGGTCAGGAAGATCCCCTGGAGAAGGAAATATCAACCCACTCCAGTGTTCTTGCTTGCAAAATCCCATGGGCAGAGGAGCCTCATGGGCTACAGTCCATACAGGGCATTATGTGCTGAGGGTGAAGAAAGTGGCCAGGGTCCCTGCCCAAATCAAGCTTGTGGGGAAGATGGACATTAATCAAGCAATCACACAAATAAATATTGCTGTCATTCAGTCACTCAGTCATGTCTGTCTCTTTGTGGCCTCGTGGACTGCAGCACACCAGACTTCCCTGTCCTTCACTATCCCCAGAGTCTGCTCAAACTTAGGTCCATTGAGTCAGTGATGCCATCCAACCAGCTCATCCTCTGTCATCCCCTTCTCCTCCTGTCTTCAGTCTTTCCCAGCATCAGGGTCTTTTCTAATGAGTCAGCTCCTCACATCAGTTGGCCAAAGTATTGGAACTTCAGCTTCAGCTTCAGTCCTTCCTATGAATATTCAGGGTTGATTTCCTTTAGGATGGATGGACTGGTTGGATCTCCTTGGGGAAGGAGGGCCTTCTTCAGCAGCACAGTTTTCGAAAGCATCAATTCTTTAGCACTCAGCCTTTTTTATTATCCAGCTCTCACATCCGTAAATGACTACTGGAAATACCATAGCTCTGACTATACGAATCTTTGTAGGCTAAATAATGTCTCTGTTTTTTAATATACTGTCTAGGTTTGTCATAGTTTTTCTTCCAAGAAGCAAGCATCTTTTAATTTCATGGCTGCAGTCACCATCTACAGTGATTTTGGAGCCCCTCAAAATAAAGTCTCTCACTGTTTCCATTGTTTCCCCATCTATTTGCCATGAAGTGGTGGGACTGGA